TCCAGATATCTCGGGGTTTGAATTAAGGAGACTCAAGTAAGCATGATTTCAAGAAAACACTCAAGAGTGCCTGAAACCTAAGAATATAAAGTTGGCTCATTTGACTTTTCCACCCATTTCCGTGGGCTCTGCCATCAAGAGTAGCTTGAAAGGCTATAGGTAAATCTCTGGGTGGATCTGTCCGGTACAGAGCTGACTCTCAACAGATCTTACTTCCTCTCCTCACCCTCCTCTTCTGAGAGATCCTCATAGACAGCCACAGTATTTGGGCAAACCCCAAAGTTGATCAAAGAAAGAGAAACAAAAGGGTACAGTGCAGTGGCTTTAGCAGCTACCAAGCTGTGTGGCTTTGAGCAACGTTTTTCACTTGTGTTATTGAGGGACAACCCCTTGCAAGTTAATTACCTGCCTATATCCAATTTTCAGTTCCATGAGATGGGACTTGTTATCCTCATGGTTACAAATAAGGACAATGATTATCAGAAAGGTTAGAAAGTTCCCAAGATTGTACAGTTTATGAGTGTTAAAGCTGGATTAAAACCCAAGGTCTCTTTGACTACAGATTATGGTTCTCTCCATTCTCCATACTTCCAGATCTTTGGCTCTAAAAGTGGCATCTTTCAGATCTTGTCCCAGCTCTAGTATCTATTTGATTTGTTACTTAATTGATTCCCAAAAAATGAGGTTCTACTATGCCCTGTGTAGCTGAAGAATCAACATGAAATTTAAGATCTGTGTTGACACACATACGTGATAATCATAATGCAAGATAGAAGCAGGAACAGTCACCATAGGGGTCTGGCAAAAGGGCTCAGGGACTTTAGTAGAGGGAGGACTTGGTCTTGCTGAGCAGACCAAGAGAGACATCCTCATGGAGGAGGAACAACAGGGTCTAGACCTCAAACATCTGCTCAGTGCTCAAAACAAGAGGGCCTTCTATTTCCCAGGGCCGAAGATCCCAAGCTTTCTCTGTTCCTCCATTAAGGTTGAGAGAACTCCTCTGGGGATGGGGAGCTTAAGATTATTTTCCACAATTCAAAAGCAAGAACTCCAAGTGCCCATTGTAAAGTACATTTCCAAGTGCTTGCTTCCAAAGGCCACAGCATTTAAGGTTCAGTTCATCTAAGTTCTTTCAATTCATCATCTGTGTCATTTCTTCTATAAATCATGTATACATAGATATCCAAATAATACTGAACCTCACTGTCAGGATGCCCCCCTAGCTTTGTGAAGAAAAGGGAGAGTTTAGATTCCAAACCTTTGACGGTGAATAGAACTCTACTTGGTTAGAAATCACACGATAACAATAGCGAATACGAGTACTGCTCACCACGTGCCAGGCATGGTTCTAAGTGCTTTACATATATTAATACATGCCATCATCCTATGGATAAATACTATTAATATTTACATTTTACAGATGAAGAAACTGAGACTCCATGAGCTTAAATCATTTGCCAAAGTCACTCAGCCATCATGTGTCAGAGCCTGGGTGTAAACCAGCAAAGCCTGGTTCTAGAGCATATGCTCAACACCATTCTTCCACATGGTAGGCTTACCCAAATGGATTTACCTGGTTTAAAAGCAATAAAAGGAGAAAAACTAGCAAGATTCTAAATATTTGGGGAAGACCAAAAGTGCCATTAGCTTGCTTGTTTACTGGAAACTTTTGGCTTGATACATAGTCATAGTTTAGAGGTCTAAATTTTGTAGGCTTAGATTTGAAAAAAATTTTTTTAAGATTTTCTTTATTTGACAGAGAGAGTGTGAGCGCACAAGCAGGGGTAAACAGCAGAGGCAGAGGGAGAAGCAGGCTCCCCACTGAACAGAGAGCCCAATGCGGGACTCGATCCCAGAACCCTGGGATCATGACCCAAGCCAAAGGCAGATGCTTAACCGACTGAGCCAACCAAGTGCCCAGATTTGAAAAATTATTGTTAAAATATTTGTATTGTTATTTTCCTAACTGTAAATGCAAATCAAGTTCATTGTAGAAAAAAAAATTTAATATAGAATCAATAAAGAAGGAAACAAGTCACTTATGAGACAACCACTGTTTATATTTTGAAGTATTTCTTGTCAATGAGTTTTTCCTATGCATAGCTAGGTCTATGCCTTCTAAATAGGCAGATTGAGAATGAGGGTATACCCACCCCAGTTTCTCAATCTTTGTCCCTGTTGTGCTTTGTGACTAAAATCTCTTCTGAAGTCTTATCTTTTTTTTTTTTTTTTAAAGATTGTATTTATTTATTTGGCACACACAGAGACTGAGAAAGATTGGGGGAGGCCGGTGTAGGAGACGCTCCCAGGCAGATCAGAAACTTGGAGTCTACTAGCAAATGGAGGGAAGGAGAGAGGAATCAGATGGATGAGAAAGGGATTACTGGGCAAAAAGCACAGCATTGACTGGGATAAGGAGATTTGGAAGAAGAGGAGGAGCAGATCTGACATTTACAAATGAATTCTTTTTTTTTAAGATTTTATTTATTTGACAGAGAGAGTGAAAGCATAAGCAGGGGGAGGGGCAGAGGGAGAGGGAGAAGCAGATTCCCTGCTGTGCGGGGAGCCTGATTCAGGATTCAATCCCAGGACCGTGAGATCATAATCTGAACCAAAGGCAGAGGCGTCACCTACTGAGCCACCCAGGCGCCCCTAAAGTCCCATTTTAAGGGCAGAAAATATTCCACCAAGTGGATATTCTATAATTTGTTTAATCAAACCTCTATTTTAGGCACTCAGGCTGTCTCCATTTCCCTTGTTAACATAAATGCTTCCATAAACATCTTTGTACATTTTTTTTAACAGTATGACTTTTTAGGCTCTGTTAGCATTGTATCCGATTTAATTAATTAATTAATCCCACCAATACTAAATTTCCAGGATGTGCCCGCCGGCTGCAATTGAGGGACTACCGCCCTGTGGTGTTACTGGGTCAAAAAGGTAGACTATGGTCAAGAATCTTGACACCTGTGGGCAACCACCTCCTTGAAAGATCGTTCCAGTAATTTCTCCTACGTAAGCTGCTTGAAGACTGCATTTTGCTGTATCCTATATGGATGAAGGATCATATTTTCCAATTTGAAAGGTGAAAAATTCTATTTCACCATCACCTTTGTATTTTTTTTTTTTTAGTGAGGTTATACCTCTTTTCTGTATTTATTATTCATAAATGTTTAATTTTTAAACTCTTGTTCAGGCCTGATCTAATTGAAGAAATTTCTCATCCCATATTTCTTTATAGCTTGAGAAAATGCAAAAATACTCTCTGAAAGCCTTAATGTTGCCTTTTAGTACCCATAAAAGCCAAGGTCAGGCTTTTAATACATCTAGCTCTCAGAAGTCTGGGTCACTGGAGAACATCAGAACGAACCCACTGTATGAACTAAGGACTTGGAATGACCTGGACAGGGACATTAAACAAAATTGTGCAGAAGGTATAAAAATCTGTTGGTCTCTCGGAAGTTAAACATGTGCGTTATCAACAGTTGGAGTTCTTCTTTTTACAAAATACTTTTAAAAATCCCAGGTTTGTCTCTAGGGCTAATTGCTGGTTAACATAACGGAATGTAAATTAATGTAGTAATGTTACATAAGTAACATGTACATTTCACTGAATCCCATATGCATAAAGTACTTCAAAGGACTTAAAAAAGCATTTTTGTAACCTAGTCTCAGAAATGACATCCCTTCCTCTCTGCCATGTTCTATTAGAAGTGAGTCGCTGGGGGCGCCTGGGTGGCTCAGTGGGCTAAAGCCTCTGCCTTCGGCTCAGGTCATGATCCCAGGGTCCTGGAATCGAGCCCCGCCTAGGGCTCTCTGCTCAGTGGAGAGTCTGCTTCCTCCTCTCTCTCTCTGCCTGCCTCTCTGCCTACTTGTGATCTGTCTGTCAAATAAATAAATAAAAATTAAAAAAAAAAAAGAAAAAAGAAGTGAGTCGCTGGGTCCAGCTCCCACTCAAGTGATCACCGGTGGACATGATCACCCAGAGGGGAAGGTCCTTAAGGGCTGTCTTAGAGGCTGCCAATTACACTCTAGCCTTCACTGTCTTGTAAGGGACTTTATCTGTCTTGTTTGCCACATCACCCCTAGAACCTCAACTGGAACTGGCATACAGTAGGAGTTAAATACAGACTGTTTACTTAATTAACTTATTAATCTGATAGCTTTTAATGGATTAGGAAGGAGCAAAGTCTATGAGATCAGACGACATGAGTTAAATTTCCTGTCTTTGCCACTCACTAGCTATGTGACTTGAACATGCCACCTCAGGGTCCACATCTGGAAAATGGGGATAATACCTACTTGCGGAATTGTTACAATTCACTTTAATCATATACACATATTGGTACATATCATACACGTTCACTTCATATCATCTCTATCTACCTGTCTATCGATCTATCTATCATCACAATCCAAAAGATGGTTCTCCCAGCCTGTGGATATAACTAAGCCTCGCAGTGATGTTTTGCACCGAGACCAGCCAGGGAAGGAGAGGAGTGTGTGTGTCACCTCCCAGGAGGCTTTGCTTCCTCCACACCCACCTAGGGCCTTGTTTGGCCAAACTTAGCCATGGAGAAGAAGGAAAGGAGACACACCAAACCAGAGACACATCCCAAAGGAGAGACCCACATTGCATGGGGTCCATTTTGCGTTACTCTCCAGCCCCAGCGGCTGACTCTCCTGGTGGGTCTGTGCCGACCCCTCACACTCGTTCACTCTGTCCCCCTATCACCGAGGAGGGGGGCCTGCCCCGCACTGCTGCCCAGGGCCATCTGGGGCTTGGGAGCTGGCTGTGCTTAACCCCAAATAAGGGCAGGACTCTGTAAGAAACCAATCATTGGCACAGGTTTTGGCCCAAACGAACTAAACCGCTATGGTCACACGTGTTGAAATAAAAAAAAAAGTTGATCAAGTTGGGGTTAAACTTTTCCACTTCCTGCAGACGATTCAGAGAGTTTCACACTAATTAAACAAAAAATGCACACAAACACTCAGAGTAATCATATGTCCATCATTTATCTGTCCCTTTACCACGCAAGCATTTATTTGGTACCCATGTGCGAAGTCAAGTATAAAGCAAGAAGATTCAAAGAGAACTGACATACAGCGTTCCCCCACTTAGTGGCAGGGGCTGCAACCCGATACCACCCCCCCCCCAGCAGATCCCTGAAACCAGAGACTAATGAAACCTACATACACGGCACTCTCTCCTGTCCACACAGAACCTGCGAGAAAGTTGATGTTGCAAAGTGGTCTCAGTAAGACAGTAACAGCAAACACTCATAATAAAACAAGACAACTGTAACAACATACTGTAATAAGTTATGGGAATGCGGTGCTCCCCAAAGTGTCCTACTGTGCTGTACTCCCCCTTCTTCTGGAGACGACACGAGATGCTAAGATGACTGCCTCAGGAGAGGAAGGGAGTAACACGGCCATTGTGACAGAGCGTTAGGCTACTGTTGGTGATCTGATGGAAGGATCATCAGCTTCCAGGGGGCTGTGTGACCGTGGGTCACTCCGAGTAACTCGGACCCTGAGAGAAACTGCGGATAAGGGGGTACAAGTGTAACAAACTTGGGGCACACATTGGGGGCTCCGAGGGAGTTCCTAATTCAGGTATTCACATAGGTAAAAAAACAAACAAACCAGAAAACCTTTGAAATGGGTCGCAAAGAAGAAAAGATTCCTTCCTTCAGTTCGTACTCACTAAGCTCTTACTCCATGCTAAGGAAAGTGCTAGGTGGGGGAGAAAAAAAAACAGTGAAAAAAGTCATGTGGTCTTGTGGGAACTAAAAAACAGTAAGGGGAATCAATGGGTGAATGATTTTAGAAGAGGGAAGTTCGAGGCTTGGTTAGGAGATGGTAGTGTGGCTAGAATATGTAAGCCTGGGGATGCGGGGGAACTTGGCAGGGAGCTGGGGGGAGGCTGGCCTGAAGGGAGGGGCTTGGTCCTCATGTGAAGAGCCTCAGGCCAAGCTGAGAAGTTGCCCGTATTATTCTGTGGGTGGCCTTGGGCTGTAGAATTGGCATGTAGGGGTGGATGTTTTCAGACCTGTGTCTACAAAGATCCCTCAGGCACTTGTGCTATATACACAGCTTGTAGGGGAACCCAGTTTTGAAATTTTCCAGGCAAGAAATAACTGGGTCCTGAACCTCAAGGGCAAGTACAGCTGGAGAGATGGGGAAGGATTCAAGAACTAGATGAGAGAGATGAGAGGAAGAGAAGCTATAAAATATTGGGAGGGCACTGCATAGTCTCAAAGGATTTTTAGACTCTTTGGGGTCACCTGCTCTACCCCTATTTCACAGATAAGAAAACTTTCTACCAGTGAGGTCGAGTCACCTGTCCAAGATCACATTACTGCCAGTTTATCTGTCTGTCAAGTGGGAAGAAGGCAGCTTCTTGATTCTTTCTCCGTGGCACAAAGGCTTGGGGGGACGATCTATAACATTCTATTTTCCGCAGCAAATGCATTTTTTAGGAGAAAGGCCCTGTGGAAAGAAGAGAATGTTAGCATTCTGTAGTCTTCTCCACTGCTGACTAATGAGGAATGAGCTTCTAGAATAGCTGATTTGGTCTCGCCCAGGAAATGCACTCCCCGCACTTCCTCCCGCCTCCTCTGGGCACCACAGCTGCTCTGACCTCTAACCTGCCAGGACTTTCACATCCCCACAGACTCCCAGTCTGCCCAGTCTGCAGAAAGGCTTTCTCAACCCCTGTGGGCATCAGCAGCACGGCCCCTTGAAGGACGAAGAAGGATGAAGAAGGGGAAGGATGAGAACGGGATGAGGGCAGATCCTTCTGTGTTACATCCTTCTTGTAAAGAGTGCCAGGGCTTTGTAGAAACATTTGAAGGCCCACTGCATTCCTCTCAAGGCTCCCAGAAAAGTATAACTCCAATCACACTAAAGCACCTTCATCTGGAGCTTGGGGTCATTCAAACAGAGCCTGGACAAAATTTAATTTTGCCCAGGCAGTAAGGATTTGCTGAGCAAATTAATGCTAGAGTGTAAACAAGGCTTCTCAAGCCGGCCTAAGAGACTTTAAAGGACAACCTGCTTTCATGGCTCGGAAGCAATCCTTTTACATGCTAATTACAAACCCTTCGGTGCTGGTGAAGGCGGGTCCCTCAGGGATTTCTATTTGCCAACACGCTGTTTATTTCCAGTTTAAAAGGAGTGGAGGGTCTATGAATTATTGAGTGGTGATGCTGTGTTTTGCTGGTACTGGATGAGAGCTTGCTTCCCTTCGTCTTTGCTGGCCTCCTTGGAGCAAGCGTTACCCCGGTCTGCACCTGGGGAATGGAGACCTGGCTCAAGGAGCAGAGCAGGTAGGTCCTGGTGCTGGGATTCAAACCCCTGGGAGCCTGCCCTTCTCACCCTCCTCCAGGTCCTGATCAGCCTTCGAATGTATTAAGTCTGCTTCCTTCTAAAGCATATACCCAAATTCAGTCTTCTCAGTATTTCAGAATGGCCTGTCTCTAGCGCAGATTAGCTAGCTCTTGTAAACTCTGTTTTCGTTTCAGTAACAAGGAGAAGGAGGCATTCAGCCAGGAGGCAAGTTGTCGGAGGAGAGGGAGGGTAGGGTGCAGGTCTGGGCTAATACCTCGTGGTCTCTGCTGTGTCCTGAGCTCTACCAACCACTCTGCAAGAAGACGCGATGGAAAATCACTCCCTCTTTGTTATATCTTTTTTTTTTTTTTTCTTTTGGGAAGATGTGTTTTCACACTGCCTGTGCCCAACATCCCCCCCTCCCCGCCTCCCTGCAGGCCAGATAGGCGAGGATCCTGCCTGGGAGGGGTAATGGAGTGTGAGGGATGCCAACACCAAGGTAGGGAGGTTGAGCCCTTTGTACTGTTTCTGGGGACTGCTTACTCTGTCTACTAAGGTCAGAAACCCTGGCAACTTGTCAGAAGATTACAGCGTGCTTTTAGGATGACTACAGAGGTCTACCCTCCCCCACCATGGGGCAACATCTACAAGTCACAGCATAACCTTCCCACTTAGACTTACTTTTAAAGCGTACACAAAACACATTTTAGCGAAATTGGAGAACTGGAGCCTTCGACCCAGAAATGAAACAGCTGTTGGCTTCCATACCGCTGTCATGAGAGAGAAGCCCCAAAACATCAGAAACAGGTTCAAACCCTACAAGGTACAGTATTGATCTTTATATATGCACCTAGAGCTGCCCAGCAGCACAGAATGCACAAAACAGGTTTCAAACAATTATAAGGCACCACATAGAAATCAAACATTTAAAATATTTATTGACGCTGAAATTTTTGAGGCAAAAAAAAAAAAAAAAACCACACAAAACATTTGCTTCGATAGGACTCATTACCCACAGGACCGACTGACTGTTTGGATGCAAATAATCTTAACTGCTTGCACACCCATTGGTACCCTTTCAGCTAAGGAGCCATTCAGCCTCCTCTTCAAGTGCAGAGGAAGTGCAAATAGCCTCTGCACTTGAGAGCTGAGTTTGCTTTGCTAGGAAACGGTTGAGCAAAATCCCAGCACGCTCTGATTCATTCTGCCTGCTGATTGGCTGCTCTCCTGGCCGCTGACATCATCCTGTTGCTGGGTGGAAAACTGCCTTGCTGCCGTCCATCCTGACTTCAGATTCTGGTGAAGGGGACATTGTACTCAACAGGGAAATCAGATTGTAGCTCGAACAGAACGCTCTCCTTCTTGTGGGATTCTTCCATCACCCTCCACCTCTTAAATGAGAGTGTGCCTGCACCCCACTACCCCATAGTGGAGCAAAAGGTTTTGTGTGGCGCTCTCTCCTCCAAGCTACCCAATCCCAGCCCCCTCTCGAATATCTGTCTTCTTGGAGTGTAGACGGTCCATGTTGCCTACATCTCCCGGATGAGGCTGGCTTTTCTGATTAGTTTAAATTTGCCTTTATTAACAGAACTAGAGTACGTTCTTACTTGCTACTGTGACTTAGCAGTAGTGAAATAGTACTTCGGACTTACTGTGATAGATATCTTCCCAGCCCTCATTATTCTCCCAGTGTTCTGTGAGGTGTTGATACAGGGAGGAAGGGACAGCAAAGGCCAACTGGGCTAGTGCCCTTTGCGGTTTGCAGAGTGCTTTTTATGTTTGTTCTATTGGTCTCTCACAACAATCCTATGAACTAAGTATATTGCTTCCTCCATTCTATAGATAAGGAAACAACCCCCCCCCCCAATATTAAACACTTTGCCAGCCACATAGTCAAAAATAACAAAGCTGGGACTCAAATCCAGTCTTTCTGACTCTGCCCACTGGGACATAGCATCTTTCAGCTTCGGGAGGTTTCTTGACTTGCAAGGGTCAGTCCAAAGTGGCTAAACCAGTACCAGGACTGACCCAGCAACCCTCCTTCTCTGTATAAGACCTTTTCTTCTAAACCTCTTGGGAGTTCTTAAGACACCATTCTAAAGGTTCTCTTTAAGGATGTTCTTAGATACACATTTATTTTAAAAATCCCCAGGCTTTCACAAGCTTTTACTTATTAAGCAAAGCTCTAAGGGAAAAAAAATAGAAGGCTAATAATTCAGACGCACATTTGCATACATTACATAAGGCTTCTATAAGGGGTAAGGTTCTCTAGTTGCAGGCTTATTTTAAGTTTTAATGGGATGACTTTGACAGAGCAGAAATAGCAGGCTTCGTACCAGCTCAGTGACTTAGGTGGCAAAGGCATTTCTGTGGTAGAAAGTGGGGCTCCTCATCTCATCTCATCTCTGGAGGCAACACTGGATTTCTCTTGTTGATCTCCAGCTGGGATGATTAACAACCATTTGCTTGGCTTTCATCTCCCCTGGCTGGGGCTTTGCTTTCATCTCATTCATTGCTCCAAACCCTCCCTCTCTTCAACTTTTTTTTTTTTTAAGATTTTATTTATTTATCTGAAAGAGAGAGTGTGTGTGTGTGTGTGTGTGCGAGCAGGAGGAGGGTAGTGAGCAGAGGGAAAGGGGACAGACTGCCCACTAAGCTTGGATCCTGATTCCAGTGGGCTGGATCCGGGGGACCCTGGGATCATGACCTGAGCAGAAGTCAGATGCTTAGCAGACTGAGCCACCTAGGCACCCCTTCGCTTCAACTTTTAATGCACATTTGAGATATGTCAGCCTCCCTAAGTTATTTTTACACAAGCAGAGCAAGAAACCACGGAGTCACTCCTTGGAGCCCACCACATCTGGTTTGCTTAGGCAAAAACAATACTCCCTCAGCCATCCTTATTTTTAAAGCAGACAGACTCCTTCCACAAGGACTTGGGAGACTTAAAATGTTGGAGGAGGGGATAAGGGAGTGAGTGGCCCAGATGACTCAGATGTGGAACTATAGGTGTTTATTTTCTATCTTGATCTTTGTGACTGCAGCCCCAAAACACAGTACAGTGACTTACGCTTTGCAGTTGACATAGCTGATCTCAGATACTTTGCATGCTTCCATCATCATATCAATAGTAACCTTTTCCCTCTTGGGGGACATTGTGGGGCTCCGTGTCCCTCTCAATCCTCATGCTTCTCAACTCCTGTGTGCAACTTATATTTACATGGGTCACTCTTAATTTCAGCAAAGTCTCTCTCTGAAAAGGCTTCATTTTATATTACTCAGATGCTCATGTTTTCACTGCCTCTGGAAGTACAAGCTTACCGATGCTTGTCTTTCGGTGTTATTCTAAGGTAACAAATCATTTTTCATATTGAAAACTAGATTCTTGATCTCACGAACTCTCCGAAGTGAACCTAGGCAGTCTCCACTTCCAATTCTCCCCCGCTCTGTTGAGTGAATGAACCCCATCTTTGCTCCTACTGTCCCTTTGCAAGAAATGTTTGTCTTCCAAAAGGCATAGAGTTAGCTCTCAGTAAATGTTCAAGAAAAAAAAAAAAATCCTACAGCTGCAATGCTAGTTGATGGTGGTTAAAACTAAAATTAGATCCCAATCTCACTTAAACAAGTATTTTTTTATGAAGAAATACGTTAACATAGTTTGGACATTTGGACAACATCCAGCCCCTTTCAAAGCTCCAGGCATGAAATGTCTCTCCTGGGATCCCAGAAGCTGGATCACCCCTTTCTCTTAATCCACCCAACCTCCCCTCCCTGCCTTCTGATCTCCATGGGGAGATTCCTTTTGCTTAGAAAGTGACAGATAAAGTCAGGCGAGGAGCCTCCATCATGTTCTGGGCTAGATGATCTCAAAGGGCACTGCCAGCCTGGCTTTCTAGGTCCTCAGGCCCTTTGCAAAATCATGCCTACTGGGTTAAGAGTTCAGGCTCTGGAACCAGGCCTCATTCAAACCTCAGCTCTGCAACACACCAGCAGACTGAGAGGAGGGACAGAAACCAATATAGACGTGCAGATAATTTAACCTCCGCCCATCTCTTTCTTTCTTTCTTTCTTTTCTTTTTTTTTTTTTTTTTTTTAATAAATCAAGGGTTGTCATGGATGTACTTCTTACAGGCAAGGATTAAAGAGGAGGAGGCCCATGAAATCCATATCACAGAACCAGGATGTGAGATATGGAAGAATCCCAGTAAAGGCTACTGCATATTTTTGCCAAACAGACAAAAATTCAGAGGCCATAAGGGGAAAAAAAAAAAAAAATCAAGATAATGAGGAATGAATGAAAGCAAATTTCAAGAATGAATATCAGTGGCACTCATAGTTCTATTAAAGGGGAAAAAAAATGAAATATGCAGGCATAGTATGAAAGACTATAAATATATCTAGATGATTAACATCAAAAAGAAGGATTTTTGTTGCTGTTATTGTTCATGAGCTTTGCCAAATAAAACTGTGGCTTTTATTACATTTGTAAGCCTGTTAATTAGAGTCCTATTGGCAAAATCTACCCCATTTTGATATCCTCAGTAAATGAAATTGGGGATCAGTGATGCATAGAAGGAGTTACACATCCCTTTCCTCCTGATTTCACTGCATCACTTGCAGAATCTCTAGGATAAACTATAGAGACTAAAAACTTTTACAAAATAGCCCAAAATGTTTCTGGAGAGCAAAGCCTATGGTGGGGTTCTCTGATTCTATGAAACATATGGGAGCCTGCGTTACTAACTTGAGTAGACCCGGGCTGTGGCAGAAAGGCTCAACTTTGTACTTCAGTCCTGGAAATGTATCAGATAACCTGGCTGGTTTGTACAGTTTCTGCAAGTCCATAAAAAATGATGCAGATTACTTTCCCAAGCAAATGTGTCCTTCGTGTCCACTATATACAGCACACTGCGCGTGGTGTGGGGAATCCAGGGATGAGTAAAACAGACATTCCCTACGGACTGAAGTAAGACACAATGTTGCGAACACCGTGATCCACAGGGGCCGTGTGTCCCATCAGTAGTGCGCTTCTCTCTGGCTACAAGATAGGGAGACGCTTCCCAGGATAAAAATACCGTCTGGCATCCAACACGTGCTGATTGATCAATCAATAATCCCCCCAGAAGGGAATCTCTCATACTGCCATGCTAGGGGGCTTAAAGTCCCTCTGAGACCTGTCACCAATTTTAAAAGTAGGGTCTTAAATTAGCAAAAAGAAGACATGTTTATCCGATCAGCATATGGCAGAAAGTTGGGAGAGAGTTAGCAAATTGACGATAAAAGTAAGATTCGGAAAGATCGAGCAGGCTGGGAGGATGGCCTGAAACCAAGAAAAATGTAAAAATTTGTATTAAAAAACCAAATATATAAAAACAGGAGGAGAGAGAGAACTGGCTGGGAAGCAGCCTATGTGAGAAGACATAGGGAATGATTAACTAGAAGTTCTTCTTGGTTTGACTACAGGCTTCTTTAACGAAACCAAATGTCATCATTAAACAGTAGTTTCCTTCAGGGCAGGGATCGCATCTTAAGTATTTTAATAGCCCTTCTTTGCCGACCATAGGAAATATACAGAGTATGCGCTCTATAGAACTTTCTTAAACGGGGTCAAAAGTGAAAAAGCTTAAAGCAATAGGGCTCCACTAAGGAAGGGGCTGTGGTCCGAAGCCCCAGGAAAGGCTGTCCATGCTCCTCTCCTGGATGACTTTCCTGAGGCTGCTCTGGGCTTTCTCCTCCTATCCCCTTAAGCTGATAACCAAAATTAGAATCCTTTGCGTGACTTAGAAGGCTGACCTGATGCCTCCTGACCTCTGACCTCTGACTTGAGGGGACTCTGCTTCCTCACCCAGCTCCAGTTTTTCGGTTCCTCCAAGACCCCTGAAGGAGGGCTGGGCTCTGCAGGAAAGACTCCTCCCTCCAGCCCACCTCACACATGTGTTCTACCTGCTTCTCCTGCCTCCCTCTGACATGTTGCTTTAACTAACTCAGGGAACCACTCTCTGAACGGCAGCCCAGAGCCCAGCTCTCTACTGTACGCTCTCCTGGTTCCCAACCATGTGTCCTTTCTAGCCCTATCTGCAGTCCTCATTCAATGTCAGTCTCAGCCACGACACTCGCTGCTACACCATGAACTCCATGAGGGCAGAGACGTTGGCCGTCCTGCATCTCCACCACTGTATCCCGAGTCCCTAGGCCGGTGTCTCGCAAACTTGAGTGCCCATGAGTGACCTGGGGGACAATGGTAAACTGCGGATTCTGATTCAGCAGGTCTGGGGTAACACTTGACACTGCATTTGTTCCAGATGATGCTGATAGTACTGGTTTTCTGATTGACTTTGAGAGGCCATGTCCGGCAGTTCATGGATGCTCCCTGCCTTTAAACCAGCCTCTTCTTTCCATCCTCCCAGGCCTTCACGGGATCCCCTCACATCTCTCACTCAGATGCTCTGGTCCCCCAGCTGCTCTTCCTGCCTCTGTTCTTCCTAGAGGTCCAGCTCCTGGGCCACACACCTTCAAGCGTCCTTCTGCAATGTAAGCCTAATCATGTTTCTCCCCTTCTTTTAAAATTGTTAGAGACAGGGACACCTGGGTGACTCAGTCGGTTAAGCGTCTGTCTTCGGCTCAGGTCATGATCTCAGATCCTGGGATCAAGTCCCGTGTCGGGCTCCCTGCTCAGCAGGGGGTCTGCTTCTCTCTCTGCCTGCCACTCCCCCTGCTTGTGCTCTCTCTCTCTGACAAATAAATAAGTAATCTTTAAATAAATAAATAAAAACTTTATTTTTTTATATAAGACTTTTTTTTTTTTTAATAAAAGACTGCCTGTCACCTTGTAGGAAGAAGAAACAAACAAATGAAAACCGAGTTTCTCAGTTTGGCCTTCAAGGCTTAACCCTGCCTACTTTTCTGGTCCTACCTCTTCTGCATCACCAATCCTGCACCCACTCTCTTGGCCTCTCAAAGCTTTTGTGGATCCTTGAACTCACGAGGCTGTGCCATCCCTCCCTACCTTAGCTGGGGCAGTTGACTTTCCTTGCATTACCCTCTCCGGCTCCACCTGCCTGTCGGAAATCCACACTCCTGATCCTCTATGAGAAGCATCTCTAGGATTCTTCTCTCATGGAGAATTGGCTGCTCCCCAAATTGGTTCTGCAGCAGCCCCTTGTGCTAAACCAGTTCATTTACAGGGCAGCCTTCTCCTTCCTGCCGTGAGTCCTCTGAGTACAAAATGGCGTCTCATTCATCCCTGTAACCTTCATGCCTGGCACGTGGCTGGTACGTCAGGCTTGTGTAATGTTACTGTGCTCTGCTCCAAATGCAATATTTTAAGGGGGATTCTTGGACACAGTGGAGTCCTTCTAAGGAAGGATCATTGGTATTGGTCCAAAATTCCCAAGAGAAACAGTTCAAACAAAACATGAAGCCTAGAGAAGATGTGCTGGCACATAGTAGGTGCTCAATAAATATTTATGGACTGAAGGAACAAATGAGCCATAAGAGCTCTCTTCATTATGGAATGCTGAAGTAAAGGAAAGATTGCATGCATTCTGAATTATCTGTAGGTCAGGAGCTCAAACATTATATCAAAGGCAGAGATCTCAGTCCAATAAAAAGAATGAATTTTTAACAAGACCAAGATGAACCAAATTTCACTTTCTCTAGGAGCCACCCAAATGATCTCGTTCTTTTTCAAATATAAAAACTAAGTGACACGACTTAAGTCTCTGGACCAGTGAGAGTTATTTTTGTGGCAAATGACAGGGAAAAAAATTAAGTCGTGTGTGATTTATTGCCTCAGATGGAGTCATTAGGTGTCCCTCTTTCTCCTTCCAGCTCCGCCTTCCCCTGTGCTGACTTCAGTGTAAAGACCCCCTGGCCCCGTAACTCCAGCTTGCTTCTCCCAGAACAAGGGAAGGACATTCCCCCACCCTACAGCTCCTCTGAAGGAACCTTCTGGAACTGTGGCCAAGAGAAGCCCATGGCCCCAGGAAAGTGGTTCTCTGATAGAACAGAGAATCACATAGCAATGTTGGATCCAGTGCACCTGAGGGAGGGGGACAGACACAGGGCTGAGAACAGAAGAGAGGGCAATGTCCCAGACTAAAACGGGCTAAGAATTTCCCCAAAGGAAAAATAAAAGCAGGAGGACAAAACCAGTTTGCCCCCACGGCCTAGATACTTGCTTCAACAATAAAACATGTAACTGCATTCAATATTCCATTTCTTGCACATAATATAAATTTGGTTGACAACCACTGGTTATTAAATACACCCAAGCAATTCAACCTACATTTTACTAACCTGGTAAGAATTCACTAACCAAAGGACTTTTGCTCATTGACCTTCTTTATTCATTTCTTCAAAAAAAATTTATTGTATTGAGGATATAATGATGAGAAAAACTGTCCTCATGAAGCTTACAATCTCATAGAGCAGGCAAAGAGGGACAAAAAAAATCACAGAGCAGGTGGCAAGTAGCGTGAGGAAATAACCTATCTCCATATGATCGTATCAAGATACAAAAAGATAAAGCCAAAGTTTATTCAAGCTTCTTCGTGACTAAATATCCATTTTCTCTGCTAACCTGACCAGCTGCCTCTTGATGATACAGATTGGAAGGGAAGTTATTTCTTGCTGAAGTAATCTCAGTGTTTCCCTGGCCCACCAGAAAAAGAAATGCTATCCGGTGGCTTGGAGCACTCAGTTTCAAACCCAACAAACACTCACGGATGTCCCATCGTGGACACTGAAGTCACCACCTCCAGAGCACAGAAAACAGCAGATTACTTTGATGAAATGAGCAGCTCCTATCTGTGGCTGGGTCTCTGAAGAATAAAAAAAAGGAGAAAGTGAGGAGAAAAGCAATGTCTCGATTCCCACACCGTTTAATTCCTTATGTCACCTGTTCTTCCGACTCTGGTCCTGTTTCCTTTATTTCTCTCAGGCGGATGCTTTGAAAGTCTACCATGATCCCACAAGGGGTAGGACCTGTCAGATGTGCCCTTTGCTGTGGACATTCTTTGCTCCATCTGTAGTGACATGGCTTCCTTCCTTCATACCTTCCGTCAGAATCTGCAGTGAGGTTTGAATGATACTCTTCCCTCAGGTGGAGAACACCGATGCTCTATTTTACTTGCCTCTCCAGCCTCGATCATGTGTTTCAAGTTAGTTAGGTCCCGGATGATGGCAGGGGTTGTTGGGTTACAAAGTTTCCCAGGATTCTGTTCTCTGCCTTTTGCCTGATTTTTAAAAATTTTTCCTGTTGCTTATTGAAATCTGAGCAGTTATTAAGAAGCACACCGTACTTAAACTGAGTTGGGGAACATCTAGGAAATCACTTTGGATTATTTCGTTATCCCTCTTACAGGAAGCCCAGATGTGCTACACTCAGGTGATCTAAGAGGCAAGGGGTTCCATGGTAATTGCTGGCCCACAATGTGGGCCCAGCTGGGCTGACATTTTAATTTGTCTCTTTTGTGGCTTCCATTATCCTGGGGACCAAGGTATAAACGTGTCTGGAATCACAATATGTGGAAAGTTAGTAAAATTTTGGAACAGTGCCAGGACCATTCAGTGCTTGGGATGGATTTCTTGGAGTCTCTCCAAATGTATGGGCCGTCCATTGTGCCATGTGGCCAGACTTGAGTCTAGAGGAGACAATTAAGATGAAATTATGTTTACTGCAGCCTAGTTGCATAATGGAAAAAAACTGAGGTGAGTGGTCTGGAGGAGGTTGCTTCTGTGTTTTAGAAGACTTTCAAAGGTTCCACAGAGGAATGCTGCTTGCGTGTGGTGAAGTTTGGGGATGCTTAGAAAGCAGTTACTATATAAATATAAAAGGTGATTTAAAGGGGAAATGATGGCTGAGGCTGGAAAGGCTCTGGGTTTTTGGCAACTGTGCTGTCTCCTGAAAACGAAGGTGACTTGATATGATAAACAAAAGCATGGGATTCTGGTTTGGCCTGGGTTGGTAACCTAGCTTCCCCACTTGTTGGCTGTAAGCTTCTGAAAAAGTTCATTGCTTCTCAGAAAAGCTACGGTATCATGAAGTTAGGGTTAAATTAGTTAATACATACAAAACTTTTAGTATAATGACTGGCGCTACGAAGTGTTCTGCCAAGCCTTATAAGGAGACAGTCTAAAACGTTCTATAAATCCAGGGGTTTATAAGACTTTTGGGGTCTCAAAATTTCCTAGGAACTTGATGAAAACTATGGGTCCTTGTGCCACAGGGGAAAATGTGCATATACAAAATTTTTGTGCACGATTTTAGGGAATTCAAAGACACAAGGCTGTATAACCATAGACTTTAGGTTAAGATCCTTTGCTCTAGGGCTAGGTCCATTCCAAAAAGAGAGAGAAAGTCCTCTGTTTTATTCATTTTGTATAATTTTTGATCATTTATAATCACAGGTACATAGCTTTTTAGATGAGGAGGGATTTTTTTTTAAGTATTTTATTTATTTATTTGACAGAGAGCCAGACATAGCACCAGCAGGGGGAGGGGCAGAGGCAGAGGGAGAAGCAGGCTCTCTGCTGGGCAGGGAGCCAGAGGCGGGGCTCCATCCCAGTGCGCTGGGATCATGACCTGAGCCAAAGGCAGATGTTTAACCTACTGAGCCACCCAGGTGCCTCTGAGGAAGGGATTTTAGCTAGTCTAAATCCCTTCCCCCTTTTTTGGAATAACAACATTAAAATCCTAAGAAAATACCTGGTGTTTCAGATAAACAGGGAATTGTATCAATTTCACATTTCTATAATTTAAAAAATCAGTTCTCTTTTTATCACCTACCCTTCATTTTGAGATATTCTGTAATATCTCGTATACAAGATATTCTTGTATTTCCCCTCTCTTCCTAACCCTGTACTCTGAAATACATTGCCCTCAGAAGCTCACGTCCGTTCAAAGCTCCATGATGAATACAAGGATCGCTTACTTTGTGTATTTTAATTAGCATATCAAAACCTACTCTGCTGTACCCATTTGATATTGTGCTATTTGTTGAACTGTACTACTAGAGTATAACTTCATCAGGTAGGAATTTGTATGAAAAGAGTTATCAAATACCTATAATGGGATGGGCTTGATTCCTTCCTCCTAGGATGCACAAATGAATAGAACCCAGACAGAGATGTATGTCTCAGACTGCTTACATTCTCACAATAAAAATGATCTTTTCTTTTGGACAATTATGACTGGGTTGAGATTCAATTCATGGATGGGAACTGAGGTATAACCTGCAAGTTTTCAGCCAAGTGAATGTCACCAAAGCCTCCATTGCCATTCCTCAAGGACACCTGCCTTCATTTGTTTAAACAATTGTTGGCAGCATGGGCACCATTAAACACAAAATAGCCAAAGTGTGTCTGGGCAAAATCCCACCCATAACTCCCCCCTCTGGCAGGAGCCAAGAACAGTAGCGGTGAATCGGCCCTGTTCAGGAGCTCATCCCCTGGTTTTTTCACTGCAATATGTGTTTTAGCACTTCTATTTCGCTTCCAGGATACTTTGGGTGACTTTTGAGGAGAAGGTGAGCAAGAGAGCAAAGGTCCTGGTGTTTGGTAGTTTGTTGTAGTTAGAATGGAGCAGGGAATATGGCTGACAATGTGGAAAAGCAGCAGATTAATCCAAGGGAGAGACTGGAACATGAAAAACTGGAAGTAGCTTGGATTAAGTGATGGGCAGAAGGCAAGAGACAGTAATAGGCTTTGAAATGCTGTACTCTTGTACTCTTGTTCAATCTGCTTCTGGAGCCCCAGACGCAGTGCGACACAAAGTCAGTGTCACTAACATTTCCCTGGGATCCACGGCCTCTGGGCAACTCACCAGACCTCCCTCGGAATGTTACTGCAAGCCCAGAGACAAAGGACAAAGACAACAAAGTTGAGGTGGTGCTGGCAGGTTGGGGCTAGCCTCCAGTCACCTCAGCTTCTTGTCCTGTTTAGGGGGACAGACCCCAGGGCTCCATTCTGAAGCTACTTTGGATGGCCAACATTACAGGAACTATGGCTCCAACACACCCATATATCTGCCTTCCCTACTTTGCTTTTTCTACCTAGAAAAAAGTCTTATCCCTTTTTGCTAACCTCCACATCTAGAACCCTATCCCTGTCTGGCTAAGTATGCTCCCTAGTTCTTGGGGAAAGGGGAGACAGTCTTCTTGGTGTTATCAGAAGAATCCAACTCAGACTTGCTTCAGCCCTTTCTTACCTGAGATGTCCTGTGCACTGGGCTAAGAACCATAGTGGAAAAGCAAAAGTTATGTTCATGACATCCGAGGAAGGTGAAATCAACCTAATGAGTTGCGTCATTTGCTCAAGAGAACACAAGCATTTACTTATGACTTGGTAATGCAGCGACCTTTCTTACATGCACCCATAATCTGCAAGCCACAATATTTTTGGCAGATGACTTGCTTATCTCCTCTCCCAGGGAACGCTTTGACAGACAACAGTATAAATATCCTGTAGCCTGGGCCCTTGGTTTCGTAAACAACCAGGAAAGAAGCAAGGCATTTTGCCTGATGACCAAGGAAGACTCACAAATAGGCTTCTATAAACAGAGGGCAATTGTAAAAGGGAAAGATGACAGAAGCTATGGCTTGGTCCATCCTTTAAATATCTTGCCCGTGACACCACCCAAAGGACCCTGTCAGCCCAGACCAATATTTTAAAAAACCAGACCTATTAATATAGTTGGGCTCTTGCTCAAGTCATACAGAATACATCAGGCAAATTTCTTTCATGATTTTGTTCACAACACAAGAGGTAGTTACCTCCCACAGACTAAAACTGGAGATCCTTAGCTATGGGCTAGTAGGCAAAACACTTCGAATATTTCGAGGCACGCTATCTCAGAATTCCAGCTTTTCGGTGGAAATCTTATAAGCTAGCCAACTGCAATTCATCAGTTAAAACCCTAAATAATAATGGTGACTGGCTATCTCTAGCTTAGAAAAAAAGAATTTATCCAGCAGAAGACCAATAAAGGTATATACACATCTATGCACATGTGCACACACTCACCTGTACACACGCACGAGCCCAAGGTCCAGAAAAGATCATCTTTCTTCACCTAGAGGAGGTTAGAATGAGGAATACATTGCTGTCATCTCATTTCTGCAGGCACTTAGGTTCTTTAATAGTCGACGTTATCTCTGACAGGGAGTTCTCTATCTTGGAATGCGATTGGATAGGCTAATGGAAAACAAAAATGTTCTTTGCAAACACAAGGGCAATAAAGATGCTTAATGATAAACCTTGCATGTTATCAAGTACTCAAGGCCCCTTTTAAATCAAAGCAAGCAATGGTAAATGGTATCAGGAAACCCAGAACATTAAAATTCAAGTAAATTTCAATTCCTCTTGAAAAACAGAATGATTGTTGTATGAAACCTTTTAAAAATAGTGATAGCATTTGCTCAGTACTCATAATCAGAGGAGCACTGTTCTACGCACTTTGCATATATTTTTTCACTTAGTCCTCAAAAAAACCCTCTAAAGTACTAAAAAATGAAATTTGAAGACTTTTGACCAGTGACTAGATGATACAATCCTGTGACAGAAAAAAAAAATTTTCAGTTTCATCCTTACAGAGCTCTTAGACGATATATTCCAACTGATAGCTAAAGTTATCCTTGTTCGTAGGTGAATGTTTCCATGTGCTTCCATTCCTCAGCACTCTAGCTCCCGGTAGACCTAGGCATCTCTGAATGTTCATGCTTTCTCAGAGAAGTAGAAAATGCAAAGTGACCAGTCTTGTCTCTACGGAAGTAGAGTTATCTCATCCACAGCAAGTGCAATGCAACCAAAGACTTCCAGGATTGCTCAGGGAGAAGCACCATTTCCTTTGGTTCTGCATCCACGTTTCCAAAGGTGTGGCAAGGCACACCTGTAAAGACGATCCTCATTAATAAGGTGAAGTATTGCCTTCATTTTCTAAGGGCTTAACATAAACTCAGAACTATTTACCTAGGAGATAAAAGGTCAAGGGTTGCTGAGCTGCAGATAAGCATAATATAAAGGATAATATAAAGGAGAGAAAGAGAGAAGGGGAAGGAGAAAGAAGAGAGAGAGAATGAGAGAGACTGATCTCAGCAAGGGGAAGAAGCAGGGGCTCCCGCACAGATAGGGCATATGAGGCACGGGAATGAAAACCAAGAAAAGCCCAGATCTACTAAGGCTAGTGATAGGCTCTACACAAACAGCTGTCACTTAGGCACTTACCACATCTGGTAAATTGAAGCAAATTAAAACACTTATACATGGGGGTTGCCTGGGTGACTCAGTCGGGGTTAAGAGTCTGCCTTTGGCTTGGGTCATGATCCTGGGGTCCTGGAATCGAGCCCCACATTGGGCTCCCTGCTCATATATGTTTATATTTCCAAAACAATGTGGCCTCCTAGAACATGTCTGATCCCCTTTATGCCTCGTGAAGACCACCACAGTGATCTTTAACCTGCAATTTGACACAAAGTCACCCTTGTTCACTTCATCTTTTTCCTCAGCTACTTTGTTCTTGGAAACTTTTGAGGAAATTGAATTTTGATTTCTTTTTACTTTTAAAAATCTTTTGGTTCAAAAAACCCTAGACCATCATTAAACTGGGCCAGGATGCATTAAGTGTGAATAAAGGATAAAGAATGGGAAGGGAGAACGCTTTTTGCCTCTCTTCACATAAACACATTAGAATCACTTTGGCATTAAACATGAAGGGGAGAAGAAGCTTGGGTAATGGATGACTGATCCCTACTCTCCAACTAAGGAGGCAAAAAGTTTCTAAAAACTTTGAGGTTTATGCAGAGCAGACTTTTTTAATGAAATGTGGGCTGTAAGAATTTTTTATGTGCAAAAACCAAAATGGGGTTTTCTGGCACAGTGAGTTCTAGTTCTTGCTTTGGAAATGTCTGACTTTCACATCCATTTACTAATGAGAACTAAAAGCAATATTGCATATTTGTAAGTGCTTGACATGAAAATGAAGGAAGACTGTTTCAGTCAATCTTGTTTGGTTGAAAGAAAGAGAGGTGCATTCAAGTTACTTCACAGAGTTGGCACTGGGAGAAGATGAGATGGGGGGAAGGGAATTGTTTCAAGAACTACCCAGCAAGGACCGGACAAGAAACACACCAGGACTGAAGGCATCCCTAAGTAATCCTGTCTTACCGCCTTCACTTTCTTTCTGTGTGTTACTCCGGCTTCCTCAACCTTCACTCTCTATCTGTTCCGATCCTTCAAAGTTTGAGCCCGCATATGGTTCACGGCATCCTCCCACAATCTGACTTGGATGCCAACTGGCTGAGTGTCTTAGCTTCCCATTGCCAAATCTCCAAGACAGGCATCTGATTGGCCCCACTTATCATTTTAAGTTAGTCTATACAGATGGCTGGCCGGGTTACAGAAAGGGCTGCCTTCAAATCAAGTGTCTACCCTTTGGTCCACTCATTTGAGACAAGGGACAAACACGTAGCCTGGAGCATGACTATTTAGAAGGAGACCACCAGCAGAAGGATTTCTTTGGATGGGACAGGTTGAGATAAAAATCTCTACTTTGCCAACAGATTATGTGGAAACCAGTGTACTCATCTTCCTTCTGAGAGGAGCTTGTCTCAGTTAATCACCTTCATCACCTCTACCACCAGTCCATCTACCACTGTCTCCACGACTGACCAAGCGCCTAGGAATCTGCATACTTCGATATCAAAGCATGAGGAATTCCAACAGAGTGCCAACAACAGTATTTTTCATATTCCAGCACCACTCAATGGTTTTATTTTAGAGTAACACGCCAGTGGGCAATGAAATATTCAAATAGGGATAATAGATATTACTCTGCCTACTCCCATGGCATGTATATTAATAGGAATCCAATTAATGCAGGTGCCCAAACTGTATTTGGTGAGTGTTGGGAGATCTAAGTCAGCTGACCTCACCATTTGGTAACCTAATACAGAGAATTAGTTCAAAGAATATTTGTAATAGGGACGCTTGGGTGGTTCAGTTGGTTAAGTTTCTGCCTTCAGCTCAGCTCAGGATCCCAGAGTCCAGGGATTGAGTCCCACATTGGGCTCCCGGCTCAGTGGGGAGCCTGCTTCTCCCCCTGTCTGCCACTCCCCCTGCTTGTGCTCTCTGACAAATAAATAAATAAAATCTTAAAAAAAGAAAAAGAGTATTTGCAATAATGACTAATTGTAAATGCCAAGGCAGGGTTGCAAAAGACTATAAACCCTGGCATCAAGCAAATATGGTTTCAAATCACAGCTGTCTTATAATAACTGTGAGACTTTGGCAAAACTGCTACTCCCCATAAATCATTTGTAAAGTGGATATAATAATGACCCCTTCATAGGGGTATACAGTTAGGCAAGACAATGTTTATAATATTATTTTTAAAAATAAATATTTAGACAATTTAGGCGTAAGTTATTGCAAAACGGCACGTAGTAAGCTCTCAATAAATAGCAGTAATGGTTTCTATTACTATCACTATTTTGAGTATAATATCCTTACCATGGCTGTTATGGGGATTGAGGAATAGAGATGAGAGTTATGAGGATTATCTTCAAACACTACACAGTCTTAAGAGTGATGATATAGACCTGTGTATTAGAAGTGGGGCATACCTAGAATTTGCACATGCACAAGTGGAATTCAGCAGAATGGTGGAGTAAGTGGGAAATGTTATGTGTGAAATAATGTTCAGTGATAGTCTCTAATTAGGAAAAGGAGGTTTAAATTCTGGCGAATTCTTCATAGGGATCATGCCTCTTCGAAAAGAAAGGATTGCTCCTAGTGTAAAAGTTTATCTGTGGTAATGTAAAAAGCCAGGATGCCTCGGATTTTCATAACTGGGACATGAACTCCATGGAAAGCATCGAGAACTGCAAATGGAAAGGACCCACTGGATGGAATACCTGGAAGTCACGGTCAGAAACCAGGGGACAGCCCACTGCTTGGGGGTACATTTCACTTCCCTGGGGAAGCCTAAACCAGGCTAGAGTCCCCGGCTGTATGTTCTCTTCCTGTGTTTTCCCTACTAAAATACTCACTACATAAAGGCATGGCTTGTTTAAAGTCCATCTTCTGTGCTAGGTTAGAAGATCTGTAAGACCCTGACTCGCTATTCATAACTTTATAGCCGCAGCTAGCACCTACTGGTACACGGTAGGTATGCCACGAACACACGCCAAATGAATGAGTACAGGAATGCAAGAATGAATTCAGTAATGTACATGGAATTCAGAGGTGATTTCATCATATATTGTTCTGCATTGTTCTCTAATATTTATAAGGGTTAGTCCTGACTTCCTGTTGACATTATAAATTGCATTGAGACACAGCAAGAATTCTGCATCCTATGTCTCTACCACAACAAGACATCCAATTACAGGCATAAATCCTCAAAAGGTCTTTCTAAGCTCTTTGCTAATAATCTTTCTTACCCTCTACTCTCCATATCTTATCTTCTATTTTCTATATCAATGCAGAGATTACACCTCAGTCTCACTATTAGACTGTAAACAGGGCTTTTGTTATTTTTATCACCAGGACTTACTGCTTGGTAAAGGTCCCATAGATAAATGAGTGAGTAAGGGAATATTTGGACAGCATATATTTCAAAGCATACTATCAAAATGTGCAGCCTTCTAGAACTTCACAAATTGCTGTTGTGTTCCAAGCTTACCATTTGTGTAGAAATATAACATCTCAAGCCAACATTTTATATTTGAAATGGCTCTTTGTTGTTACCATTCACACAAATGTTGAAAGTTTCTTCTTGATAACAAGGCAAATTTTACCTTTGCATGAAAATATTTTTTAAAGATTTATTCATTTGAGAGAGAAAGAGCGTGTGTATACATGTATATGAGCATAACGAGGGGGAAGGGAGAGAGGGAGAGAGGGATCTCCAGCAGATTCCCTGCTGAGTGCAGAGCCCAATGTGGGGCTCGATCGCAGGACCCTGAGATCATGACCTGAGGTGAAACCAAGAGTTAGACGCTTAACTGGCTGAGCCACCCAGGCATCCCTGCATGAAATATTTTTTATAATTTTAGGATAACTAGAAAACTTCTG